TGGAGAACTTATGTCGATTAAAAAGATATCCAATGACATTTGTTTGATCACAGATTTTATCAGAAATATCCAGCGAAATAACTTGATCGGAATGAAAGGTCAAGTGATGAGACAGAAATTCAATTTGACGACGACAATATTCAGTATCAATAATTACATGAAGACGAGTTAATTTTAAAATAGATGAAATACGTGAATTAAGAGAAGCAAATGCCAAGAACAAATCGAATGCATTTAAATAATCAAAGATCTCACAAAATATTTCGTTCGATATATCTTCCAATAGAGTAGAATTAGCCATTGCACTGACTGACGAAATGACGTACATATATATAAAATATACAAAGAATAGAGTATATGACTGTGTAATTGATCAATCGACCAATAAATAAAATAGCCATTGTATGTATGTCCGACGTCACCCGTCCATTCCACTACATTTTGGATGGTCAGACAAAATAAAGGAAAAAAATAAAGCGAGCATTTTTTTGTCTAATGGGGTCAATCTGGGTGTGAGTGTGGGTGTCAAGTTTTTCTTAACCTACACCCACACCCACACACCCACATCCCACACCCATACCCACACCCACCCACACCCAATTCAAATACTATCTATTTGCTTCTTATACAATGCTGCCTGGAGTCCGGTTACGACCTTGATGCTAATTGTATTTTTCTCACCAACACAACAGCCGATTCTGAGTGTGGATGTGGGTATGAGGGTAGGTTGGTATGCGGTGTGGACGCAAGGAAATCACCAAACACATCCTACACCGGCACCCAAATTCATATACCCATCATTCACGATATTGAATATAAAATTATTCTAAACAGGAAGACTGAACTTTGAGAGTTCTATATAACATCAAACTTGTCTAATACAACGAGTGACTAATTTGTCATTTTGTTGTGATTTAGAACATGATGAGAAATTATATTTTAATATTGCCAGTTGTTTTTCACATTCTACGATGCATAGAAAGTACTATTTTTAATAGCATGAAAATTTTATTTTTATAATATACGGATATAGACTAAGTTCAGCAAACTAGTTCATTGTTTTTGTTTTTTCATTATTACTACAACTACAACGACTATTACGAATATGACTACAATTACACAACACAATTTACGGCAGTATCCTGTCTTGGTTTCAATTTGTTCTTGTTCTATAGCTGTATCTTGTTCATTCATATCAATTGTTATTTCATTTATTGGATTTTGAACAACCGGAAAATATCGCAGAGTGTCACTATAGTTGTCTGAATGTATCCATGCATCTTGAGCTTTTCGATAGAGAATTTCATTAATCGACTTGCTCGGTGGATCCATCTTTGGTTTGTCAAATTTCATCATCCACTCTGGGTATGTTTGGCAATACTTGTCTCTAAGTCGCATAATGGACGTTAAATTAATATTTTCACCAGTTTTGCGCGCATCAATTGCTCGGGCGAAGAGCAGAGCACATTCTTCACATTCTTTCGAAAGTGTACCATCGAGATGTTTGTCGGCAATCACCGAATGTGTATTAGCAATAATACCGGGAGCTGTATCTGTGAATGTATCAAGCACATGATCTACAATGAGTTCATTTGTTATTTGATTGACACAAGATTTCTTTGCCGATGGATACAATAATGGTTTAACAACTTCTTCGATATAAAACTCCTCACCCCAATAAACCCAATACTGATCACCATCAAGATCAGCTCCAGCCATCTCATTGAAACTAGGCCGATAGCCATTAGTAGAAAATACAATACAATCGCGTATACAAGACTGAAGTTTTGGTACATATACAGCTTTAAGTTTACGGATGTCTCCTGGATGAAGACATGGATTTTTAGTAACTAATACAGTACCTATGATTACAATATAAACATGACTCTATTAGTAAATAAAATTACGAAGTATGAATATTATACCTGTATGTACAATATATTTTTCGGAAGTAGACGAATTCTCGAGGCTGCGATACTGAATGAAACATTCTCCTGGTTTTAATGTACTAGTTTCATCGACTATGCCGAACAGACATCGAGCCTCATTTACAGGCAATGGAATTTTATTACGAATAAGAAAGTTTTTTCTACAAATCTCAACAACATAGACATTATTATCAATGTAATTTCACACATAAACTTACGCATTTTTATATTTTTGTCGATTTTCATTTATTACTGATTGATCCAGAGACTCTAATGCATTCAAATAACATTTTGCTGGTGGATGCCAAAACTCTTTCCGATCAATACAACGCATTTGAATAGATTCAAATACACCATTACTATTGCCCAAATCACTCAATAATCGAATAACTTGATTATTCAAACTCAATGGCACTATAAATATTCAGAATAACAAATAATATGTTGAAAAACATTGATTTATTATTTACTAGGTCGAGAATGATCAACAACATAAAGAGTCCAATCATCACTTTCAAATTTCACCATACTCTTTCGAACTTTAATATAGAATTCATTTGATTTCGATTTAGGATCAATTGATAACATTCCTTTACATCCAGCTATTCGAACTTGAAAAGCCGATAGAATATCCGACTAAAATCTCATTATATAAAATTAAATTGATAAGGTATAACAAAAATAACCTTTTCGTTAACTTGAATTCCGATATTTTCCGCTATTTTTTTCGCTAGACCAAGAGATATTGTACCACATCCATCAGTGAAACAAAATTCATTACGTTCAATATCTGGAATAATAGTAGCCGTGTATTCTATTTTCTCAGTTTTAGATTTAAATAACTAAATAAAATAATTGCTGACAAGTGAATTGTTATATAGGTTTTTATCATACTAGGCGTCTGATTGCTGCTGTGAAGCGTGAGAATCTACTAAGTGTTCGTTCTGGGTGTGGTGTTTCAATAAAGTTGAGTCTAATCTAAATTTACAAAAAAGAGATTACCATAGTAAATAATCTTTCAGAAATATGATCAGAATGACAGTAGCGCATCATATTTTTTTTTCAGTTGAATATTGAAAATGTTGACCAACATATTCAAAAAGAGCTAGGTCAAAATTTAAATATAGTAAAAGAGAGAAATGTAATAAATTACCCCAGGTGACTTTAATGTTGTTAGATATAGACCAACTCGTGCCATATAAGTAGATACATTGAGAATTTTTGACAGGTCTCCAATTTGTACACGTGCTGATTCCATAGTTGTTCCCTGAGGAACTGATAGAAACCAACCAGCATGTTCATTCATTTGGCTGCCCGATGATCCAAAATATTGAAAGTAACGTTTATCGCGAAAAATACCTTTTATCATTAAATTTCTAAAACGTACTCGCATTTGAAGATCTAAATTATTAATTTTATCTATTCCATTATAATCACGTATGTGAACAAGTAACCAATTCTCCGGAGAATATAATTCAAATCCTCGATGACAACGTGTCACTTGCATCGGTTGATATTCAATACGATTTGGTGTTATAATTGCAAATGCCACTTGTTTTAAGTGTGATGACTCATCAGAAGCTCTATGATTTGTTTTTGAAGTTGCCTCATGCAATGCATCTCTAATTCGATAACAATGATTCTGTTTTAGATTACGCCAGATTGTACAAGATAAATCATATAGTTTTTTATGTACAACATCAACTATGAATTGAGAATCAGCATTGTATTTATCTTGAAATAAATAACCCGATGACCAAAGCATTTCCATTCCATAAGAATCATAAGCAGAAGGATATGACGGCATACCTATAGGTGAAAAATTACTTGGATCTTTTTGCCAACGAAATAAAGCAAAATTGATATGAAATAAATCATCAGATGCTCTTCGAGTATAACCAGCTATTGGTAAGTTACGTAAGAATTTCCATGCTGCATTAGCCGGAAAAAATCGTACAAGTAAATCACTACATAGTGGAAGTTGTTTCATCAGTTGTGTGTGATTGCTAAAGATATAAATTAAAAAAGATAATTTTTGTTTATTTTTCACATTATTCTTGATGTTCAACGAATATCAAGATATTTTTAGGTTTCATAAGACACATGACAAGTTTTGTATCTTATCATCATTTTTTTTGTGAAATATGATCGAAAAAAGAGTTTTGAAGAGGAACTGTAGAAATATGAATCGCGTTCATTCTATTACACATGATAGACATCGTTATAAATATGTCTCTTTCATCACAGATCGTGATAAGCATTATTTATATACAATTATACATATTATTTAAATAAGGTCTTGCTGTAGCATATGAACTACTTCTTTATTGGATTTCTTGAGAATTCAGTAGAAAGATAGCAAAGAAATCTATCCCAAAATGAATAGAATAGAACAACTTCTTTATAATAATAAGAGCAACTAAATCGTGTTCTGTGTTTCAATTTTGCTGTTCTTAAATAATGATATCATATCAACGAATGTTTCATTGATAGGAGTTTCCATATAATTGAAATATAATGAAGAAAAATCTAAAAAACAGTTGTATTTCGATCTTCAATTAGAATGTATTAGTACGCAGGAGTAATATTCAACGTGTTCAGATTTTTTTAAATATTTTTGATAAACTTAAACTTATTTTATTGTCAAACACTCGTTTACCTATATACTGATTTGTAATTAATTTACTATGATTCAGATAAAAAATGGGAAAATAGTGAATACTCATATAAAAACCTTGATCCGATTTATGAAAAATAACAAAATTTACCTCAATATCTAGTTGTGAAATATATTTTATAATTAAAAACAAGTATCGTAGGAGAAAATATTTTTTTTTTATCATGCCTACCATCATCCAACAATAAACAAAAACAACAACTCTGTATCACATTGACGCGTATTTATGTCGACTTCTTTTTTGTTTGTTTGCTAAAGATTAACTTTAAAAAAAAGTTCAGAGCAAATCAAGAATTTGAATGCGCAAAAATTTACGCCAATTTTTTTAAATAGAAAATATGGCCACAGTAATGACTTTGGGAATACATCTATGACTACGTTAAAAGACCTAATTAAACTCCTTGTAAAAAAAATTCAAAACTATTTTACCATTTTTTTCCTTCTTTTTTTTCGACGATCGGTGAGGATTTAAGCATGAAAATAATTTGAATTGAATTGTCATTCGTAGAGTGATTGATTAAAATCTGTGGATCTATGTTTTTGAATCGAATTGTTAGAAAATATGTTGTTGTTTCTAATTTAATTGCTTTAGGAAATTTTTGCACATAAATATTCGCAAGATTTCGTTCATCTGTATGTCCAATAAAAGTATCACATGAGAGCATGGCTCCAAAACTATAAACCACACGAATTTCATCAGGAATTTCTTTTAAAATTTGACTACGATCTTCGATATCATCAAGTGCTTTTGTCTGAATATTAAGCCAAATTTGACGATGATCACTTGTCAAAATATCACACAAATGAAACCGTATAAAATATGCTAATTTACGATCGTAACTGCTTGTTTGCTCGATATCAGATTGTTCTAATGGAATTGTTCGAATCGTTTTTGTCAATGCTAATTTAGCATTTATATTATTATAAATTGTACGAGCTGCTTTTGGATTTAATTGTAAGTTCTTGAAATGACATGGAACTCGATCATCTTCCGTGGACATCCTACTATAGATAAAATAAAGCAAAACTATGATCAATTGTTAATAGTATCACGACGCTTTGAATTATTCAAGCAAGCTAGATAGATTCGCAACAACTCGATCATTTCAAATGCTCGTTTTTGTCCTAACTTATCTATGAAAGTATTATCTATTTGAGGAAAATATTTTTCTATTGAATAAAAAAAATAGAGTCTAAGTATGAAGTGGGTACAGGGATTAGTCAGTGGCGTAGCCAATAATAATAATAATAATCTCCCATAGGCTTATCGCCCGTTGGGGCCAGCTGCGATTATTATTAGGATCCACATGCAACTGGTTTCTATCGTCTTTTTCTCTTTTACAGACGGCGGTATCTGCACCCCTTCCGTCTAACGTACTGACTAACGATGTATTCAGCACGCTACGAATGAGTCATTCGAGACAACTTACCCGTTAATGACTTGTCCAGGGTCATTCCATGGATGGTGCTACTGAGGTTTGAACACAGTACCTTGTGGATACGTGTCGAACAACGTAACCACTCAACCATGGCGGCTTTGGCGTAGCCAAGGGAGGGGCGAATGGGCAATTGCCCATCTCATTTGGAGATTTGCCCATTGTAATTTTTATGAGTAAGTTTTTGCCCATTGAAGTTTTACTTTTTCAGAATGGTTTATTTATTTTTGAATTAGATAGTAACTCTATTTTTATTCTTCCGTCTGAATCACACATGCACTTTTTTCTTGTTCTTTTCGTGAACAATTAAGAAAAGAAGAAGAGAAGAATTGCTTCTGGTATTTTAACCAGGATTTCCAGATGAAAAACTTGAAAACCAGAAATTCTTGTTTTCAA